GTTAGAAAGTCATGGGTACTATGGGTATCACGGTACTGTCCCTTTTCTATATTCATTACTAGCGTACATCTTGTTTACTTATACGCTCAACAACATAGCTTAGATTCTGTACCTGAATATAATCTACATACACTTCTGACAAAGTTATATATAGATGATATTTTATCACTTCATTTCAGACAATATCAGTCACGGTTCTAAAATATTCCCAAAAATAATCTATTAATCTCTATGTATTATTATTGCTTCAGTCCTTATCACTTCACTTAATTCATCTTCATAACTCATTTATATATCAAATTTCCCTTTCAAACTTTTCTTTTAACATATACACAATATATAATACTAATATAGCATCTAAAAGAATAAATAAATACCTATCTTTCTTTCTTGATTATAATCATGATATCTATACATTTTTCTTACTACCCAGTACTATATTAGCATTTCCTTTTCTCTTCAATTATTCATTTTCTCTTTTTCTTTTTCTTTTTCATCCAAATCTTCCATCTCACCTCTCACCTCTCATCTCACCTACCTCATAATATAACTCTACATACTATAAACCACCTACAACACATGCATTACAATCCAATCCCATCCCCATCCACATCCCAACTATCCAACTATCCCACTACTCCAACCCTAATCTCACTGTGCCTCCCTCCCTCCCCTCACCCTCTCCCCACCCCTCACACACATCTATAATCACATCTATAATCATGTTTATAACTATACTAATACTTATAATCCCAATCCTAATCCCTCTCCCACCTCACCCATCACACCCAAGTACAATTGAACTTACAGTACACCTCCGCCGGTAAATCCGCTCTCCTTTTCCATCCACTCTATCTCTAACCTCTATCTCTAATCTCTGTCTCTTACCTCTATCATATATTTTCTCCTCCTGGATACCATACCCACCCACCACCCACTCATCCACCCACTCAACCACCTATTCCAACCACTATTCCCACAGTACTTACTATCCATCCCTCCCAGCATTTCATCTCCAATCCAATCTAATCTAATCATTACTTCATTCATTACTAATCATTTCATTACCACCTCGTACTTTCATCCCTCCTTCCATTCCCTCCTTCCGTTCCTCTATTCAAATATATCCAGCTCAATCAAATTCCATGAAGTAAAATCCCAACTCGAATACCTCAAACATCCCAATCATCCCATGAGATGTTAATGTTCTATGAGATAACACACTCAGTACATATACATCTACATCATGACTTATTACTCAGAGCAGAGTAGAGCAAAATAGAGTAGAGTACTTACTACCTACTCGAGTATATATTTTTCTCAACTCTTCTCCCTCCTGTATGTATAGATATATTCGAGTAGTATAGTATAGTATAGTATAGTATCGTATAGCAATTGGTTATCACATCACATCATACCAAATCACAAACATCACACAAACCTTCACAAAAACCACCATACAGAACACCCAACATCAACCCGATATTGCGATAGTAATAATAAATTTTGAATTCCCTATTCCAGTTCATTTCATCCCCATCATCATCCTTATTCTCATCATGCTTATCCCAACATCTACAGCCCATTCCATTATCATAGCACGCCCCTACCCCTATAATTAACACCCCAACCGACCCCATCATTACCACACCCCCATCCAATCATAATACGAATCCTAATCCTAATCCTAATCCTGTGCCCCCATCCATTCATTACTACCAGCCGGTATCGTGACGCATTTATTGGGTATGTATATTTTTCGTTTTCCGTCCATATCTTTCAATCGAGTTGAGAGTTTTCACTTGAAGTTGAGGAGCCTGCGAGGGAAGACGATTTCTAAGAGGGGGGTGTGGTTTGAAAGAATCGCCATCCATAAAAGAAAAGAAGGGAAAAGAAAGAAAACATGTATCGTGCATGCACACTCCATCTCCACCATCGCATCTCCTCATCTCATCTCCTGACCTCTTCTCCTCATCTCATCTTCTCATCTTTTCTCCTCAAGCTCACCTAACCAATCAACCAACCTAGGCGTAATACCTAACCATAATACCTAGGCTCATCAAAAACATGATACCTATGACCCCTCACCCCCTCCCCTCTAAACATTTCCGGAAACCTCTTCCCGACCTCCACATTACCCTCCTCTACCCTCCTATTCCTCACCTCATCACTCTCTCCCTCGGGTTCCCCTACCAAAAACTTTCCAACCTGAAGTTCCGTATCCGTAATGGTACTCCTAGAAATCCTAGCATATGCCGATCGTCTAAGTCCTTTATAAAGTATATACTCACACCATCTATCCCAGTCACTGGGATCAATATCATGCATACCGGATCTTTCCGAGACGTAGGTATTGTAATTGCCTTCCAAGGGTTTAGTGACAAGGTATGAGAGTAGGATAGAGGGGTTAGTGGAAGCGCCCATTAGATCGGCTAGGTATTCGGATTGAAGTCTTCGGTCTTCTGGATCTTCTTCTTGACCTGAATGGAAGACAAAGACATCGACTGGACTTCCATATACGTCAAGGGTAGCTGCGATTGCGGGAGCTAATTCTCCTACGGGTGATGGGAGTAAATGGTGGGTGGAATTGAGGATTGGGAATTTTGAGAGGAGAGCACAACCCCAAGTGTGCTTGTTGGGACCTGGTCCGTAATCAACGTACATGCCAAGGTCTTCTGCGAGGAATTGCGTCGTATCACGGTTACCCATGATGATGCGTTGAAGATCTGATTCGAGAAGTCCAACGACATCAATTTCCAACTCTTTGATTACATCTCGCATACGATATTCGGATGACCACATATCGTTGTCAAGACTGAAGTGAATGGTCCAGATACCTGCGGTGAAAATCTTCTCATCCTTATGGTAAGGAACATAATCATAAGTGGGAAATCGCATGTAGGCTGTTGAGATAGAGATGAGTTGAAGAGCTCCAATGATGTAGAGGTAGTATAAGCGTTGCTCTCTTTGATTTAAGAAGGCATTGAATCGTTTTCGTTGTGCTGCGGGAGTAGATGAGAAGGTAGCGAAAACACCACAGCCAATGAGCAACATTGTGACAGTCATGACCCAGTCTGTATGTTCTCTGACAAGAGGACCGCCTGGAACGAAGGCATAGGCCACAACCCAAACATGGAATAAAACCATGAAGTTGTATACGAGGAAACCAACTCCAAACGCTTTAGCTGGGCTCTTTCGTGCAGCTGAACCTAACAATGGAACGGATACAGCCATGAGATAAATTGTCAAAAACAAGGCACCATAGTAGCCTTTCCAATGACTATACAGCGTGAGCATGGCAGCACCTACACAACCAATGCCATATAATGACCAGCTACGCGCCAAAGACTCATTGAATAACCCGAGAATGAGACCAGCTCCCATTGCGGCGATTGTCCAGGCACCATGAGGCGCTGAAATTGGACCACGAACAGGGTATCCCTCCCAGACCCAAAGAATCATTGTGCTAGAATCGGATAGCAAAGAATGTAAACCAAAGAAAAGACCTCCAATACCAAGACCAGCAAGTAGTGATGGCCCTTCCTTACGACCTTGAACTGAAATTTGATCCCCAGTAGTCGGACTTTGACGTGTCGATCGCAGAACAGCTAAAATAGCAATTGTGAGACCATATCCATTCAACCCCCCATTTTCAGCATGTGAAGTGGGCCAAATGGGATTGTTAGTATGGAACGCAAACTTAACAACACTTGATGCGATAAGACCGATGGCCCAGGCTGATATCTTCGATTCGAGGCGACCCGGCTGTCCTGCTGATGCGTACCAAGTGGCTGCCCAAGATATACATGACATCCAAATCCCAAATCCAACGGTGAAAAGTCTAGGCGCTGGGCTCGTGATTTGATAAGCGAACAATCCAGTCAATGACATGAGATGACATATTCGAAGATTCTTCACGACCAATGCTCGGACGGATCTAATTCCTAAGAATAATGGAGAGATGGTGCACATAACCATAATTTCATAACCTGAAATACCCATGTGCCATAGAGGAAAGTCTGCCATAGTCAGCGATCTGCTTACAGACATGGCTTAAGTACTTACACCAAACGACTATGCCCAAAGAAGTCAACATTGACCAGAATACGAACTATAGAGATCTCAGTAAAACTCTGGTTTGCACCATAATTAATACTCACGCCATTATAGACATCAGATGCGGCGTCAAAAGCTTCGGGCCATGAAAAGGATTGACCGAATAGCTGACCAACCTCCTTTTCTTTTCTACTTACCGATTAGCGTAAATTGTTCAAAGGGGAACTAGATGTCACAAACTCCTTTTCAAGAACTTTATCAACTATCATCTTGTCTTTGCTAAATAATGGTATTGATTTAGAAGTGTTCATAATGATGTCACGTCGCTAACAAAAATGTTATACACTATTTCGGAAGCCAGTGGACGTACCCCTTAGACTGACCCTTGACATCTTTGACAACTAATTCGAAAGTTTCAAAATCGAGAGCCGTAACAGCATCAAAAGCCACATCAAACAAAATTAAAGCCCATTCGAAGAAAGCGTATATTGTGTACGCTAAGAATCTGGTTAGTCAAGATTCTGATGCCTAATTTCAGTTAGAAACTTCTTACCTCCAGCAACCCTGTGAACTTTATGTTGTATAAAGAAGTAAACCAATGGTACCAAGGTTCCAAAAAACGACCCCGCAAGATATTTCCGATATTTTATGGCTCGCGCATTATCTGGGCTTAGAGCTAGGCATCCTAAAGTCCACGGCAAAGTAGCCACCAGATATGAAATCATGAAAATATCATGCCAATCGTGATCGTCCGTGGAGGTAACATATGTCCATCCACCACATGTGAGAGTACGGAAGACACCCGCAAAGGCAACGAATTTAGGTAAAGTCGAATTCGGCCGCGCAGTGAGGAGGTACCATAAACCCACGAGGGCAAACCTAGGACCTAAAAGATCTATTAGACAAGCTTCACAAAGCTTTAGTGATCTTTGTTTTCTGCTACATACCAGATGTAATAGCTATAAAGATCATGAAAAACGAACGTTCCGGGTATCGATCCCCAATTGTCGCAGAAACGGAGGGGAACCATTCATCGGGGTACCCATAATATTCATTTTGAACAATTTTGTGATAATGGAGTGATACTCCAACAATGAGTGCGCTGAAAAAAGCAGCTGTTTATAATAGTAAGCAATCCAAACATGAACAAGAAAAATACATGGTTCGATTGCCCTTACCATATGCGACTGCGGTATGAGTCCATGATACCCATTTACCTGAAAAAGCAATCACGGTATCACCGTCCTTAAACTTGGGAGCCATCTGTGATTTCAATCACTTTGTATATGGAATATTCACATCTAAATGAGTGTAGTCCGAAGCATCCGGAGAGATCAAAAAAGAAAGGAAGAAGTGAAATGTAACCAGACGGATTTTAATTAAGGTACAGGCGGGTGCGCGCTTATTTGGTTATTCGATATCAAGCCGTGAAAGCCGTCCCTTGATTTAACTGATTGGACCGATTTCCCTCCAAAGACCGTCCAGACTCCAGGGCAAGGTTAGACCAAGCAAGTAGATGATTCTCAGCCTTCCGAAAGCTCCGTGACGTTCCGTTGGTTAGTGGGCTGGTTGGTAAGGTAAAGGGTGGAGCTCAAACATGCGTTGAACAACGCAAAAGATGTTGCTGATGTAATCCCTGTTGTACGGAGCTTCGGTCAATTAAATAATCCGGTAGCTAAAATTACCTAGCTTTAGCTTGGGCAGAATTTCTCTAAGAACGTCCACCGCCCAAAGAATTTCTGAAGATTTCCCTAAGGGTGAAGAAAGTCCAGAGGGATCATACAAGACAATATTCAGATACTTCCACAATGTCGGGCGCAAACGATAAAGCAAGATTCTATCTTGAACAAGGTGTTCCTCAATTGCAAGAATTCGAGCAAAAGAAAATATTTACCAAGGTTGGTTTTCTATTTCTCTCTATCCTACATGACGTTTTTATTTTTATGCGATTAGCTACTTACAAGAGAAATGCATCTAGGATGAGATTAGGACATTGGTTAAGAAGCGATCCGATTTTGAACATAGAGTGCTAGTGAGGGGTTCAAAAGCCGTCGATTTTGCTCGATATGCCGCATGGGAAATGGGTCTCGAACATCTACGTCTAAAAAGATGTAAACGAATGCGCATAAAAGGAAGCTCATCTCATGCCGGTCAAGCGCGCGTATTCGGTGTATTCGATAGAGGTGTGAAGAAACATCCGGGAGATGTAGCTTTGTGGATGTCATATCTGGAATTCGCAAGACAAGCCAAAGCGACGAAGAAATTCAAGACGGTTTTGACGGCGGCAATTCGATTACATCCTACGAACCCGGAGATGTGGCTCTATGCGGCAAAATGGACGCTGGAATTGGAGGCGGATATGAATGAAGCGAGGAGTTACATGCAAAGAGGAACCCGATTTTGCACCAGGAGTAAGGATTTATGGATCGAATATGCAAAATTGGAGATGATCTATTTGGCAAAGATTGCTATACGTAGGAGGATTCTTGGGTTGGATATTGATAGAACCATCGAAGCGCCAAAAGAAACGGAAGAAACCACCGAGGAGTCCGGCTTCACAACCTCGCAGGATCTGATCGCAATTCCAGATTTCAAGGACAACACAATGCAACCTAGCATGATGGCAAGAGTAGGAGTAGATTCCGAAGCCGCCAAAGACCCCATGGCCACACCAGCTCTCAATGGTGCAATCCCACTTGCCATATTCGACGCTTCTAAAAAGCAACCATTTTTCTCATCAGTAGCCGCAGAGGATTTCTTCGACATGTTTGCAGTATTTACTCAAGTCAAATGTCTTCCTAAAATTCTTCAACATGTATTGGATAGTATGTTGGAATCATATCCCAAGGACCCTACGACATGCAATTGTTATATTCGCCAACCATTAGTTGGTATCAATCACACATCACCTGAATTTGCGATGGCCATCGGGTCGTCACTTAATCGCCTTAAGGAATCTATGGAAAATACCAATGATAAGACTCAATTATCACTGAAGACAAAAGCATGGTTGGAAGCCATCCTAGCATTACCGGACTTGGATTCAGGCATCCAAACAGTATTACAACATACACTGCGAAAGTTGGAATAAGCGCTGCGTGTTCCGGGCACACAGAAGACTAGAACGAGATACAAAATCTAGCGGAATTGGAGGCGCAGACGAGCTGGAACGTCTGAATTCACATCCGACAACGAAAAAGTGAAGGAAGCTCGCCAGTGGCAGCAGCCAAACCTTTCGAATTTCTGACTCTACACAAGATAAAGAGTGTAAGGGGTAGGGGCAAACGCAATATCCTTCAACTCGTCCATAATGCACAAGGGCGAATTCCTCAATGGCGTTTATTTTGATTTGTATGGACAGGAGTATGGTATGGGAGGAAGATGGCTTTATATTAAGATCTTATTGAGATATTGTATATCGAGGAGGAAACTGTATATTGAGAGGAAAAGTGTTACCTGATATCATGAATCAATCAATCAATCAATCAATCAATCCAATTACTTATTTCCTCATGTCCAGATATCTACTCGAGTATACTATACTATATCCCATATACTATATGCTAACTAGGCGTCGGCAAAATCGAGAGAAACACTCGATTCATATGTAATTCTCCTCTAGACGATGCTGTCAATTGTTAGCATTAGTAGGTCGACATTTCTCGTTTCCTGCATAGATAGATAATCGTAGTGAATATGAAAGTGAAGAAGGGATTTCCAAATTGAATTTTCTTTTTGGTATATCTGAGTTCTGTTAACTTATTGGCAATATAGGTCTTCTTCGACCCTAAGATGATAGGCATCTATCGCTATTCTACAAGCGCCGAATATTGGCTGTAATGCAGCACCAGCAATTGGTCCAGACAGCCAGACAAGCGACATGAGGGAATTGTTAAGTCCAAGGCTTGCCAAGAACACCTATGATTTAATCAACAACTTTATACAGACAGAGTCTGCAAAGACATGTCTACTCACAGAACCGTTGCCAAATTTGTATCGCGAATACTCCTTGCAAACTATGTAGAGCGATTTAGACAGTAAGAGCAGTGAAGGAAGCTGCCTCTTATGGTAGAGCCACTCATCCGCCTAATCCATAGTTAGAAGTATCATATATGCACTGCTTCTTTTTATAACATGAGCATCGATCTCGGACTTCTCTGAGTCTAAAATACTCTCTTCATCAATGAATTGTATCTCAAGAGATGGTGATTCTTCTGATGGTCCCAAGCCGGCTAGAGACATTTTGATACGTTGGTAAGTCGATTCGCGCAGACGAAGATTGCAAACGAGCCATGCATATAAGGATACAGATAACTTTTCAGGCGATGTTCCAAGAAGAAGAAAGTGGATAGATTAGCTGAAAAGAGGGGGCTAGGGCTTGGTAACCATCTGGACGTGCTAGTAAGGGACCTGCAGCATACTTCTGCAGACTGCTTAGCGCTAGACCGAATACCGCGAAAGTGCTCGATTCGCTGATGCAGTAAGTTGCCATATTGAATCTCCCCACTTGTCAATTCTTTTCGCAGTTCAAACGATGCCAGAGCAGAGGCGGAAGCGCTACGGTACTATGCAGTTATTAACAATCGCCCATAGAAGGCGGCGCGGATTATGCGGCAAATATTGATGAAAGGTGGATATGAGACTAGAGCTACTTCTGCCTCGTATCCTTACAAAAATAGACTAGATTAAGGATATTCGTGCTAAGGAGCATGGCGCTGCCTTTTGAATTTCAAGCTGGGAGGGCGCTTGTGACGCGACAACATCGAATACCATCTTACAGTACCAATGATCAATGAGAATTGCCGTGACGCTCTCGGAATGCCACTCATCGGCTTCTTGACCGAAAAATTCGCATCACAAAACTTTTGTTGCAAATGATTGAGTACTGCTTCAATACATATATAAAAAGTACTTTTTTCAGAGATTATCGAACAACTTTCTTCATCGACAGACATTATCATAATCCAGAGCTTCGACATCACCATCCAAGTCATCTATCAGCATGCATTTCTCAAGATTGAGTATGGCCTTTGTGGCCACTCTTGCCACTATTAGTATATCTGCTCCTGTACCAAACATGGGCAACACTATGAGGAGGACACTTTATTCCTATACAGAATGTTCGCTACTTCCTCTGATTCCACCAAAACCAAATGTAAGGAAGATATCTACCCTTTTATACAGAATATTTATTACTTCTTTTAAATCTACTAAAACCGAATACAAAGAGAATATTTCATCTTTATATACAGTAGAATGTTCACTATTTCTATTCCATATACGGAATATTTACTATTTCCTTTGATCTCGCCAAAGCCAAAGCCAAGTGTGAGGAGGACAATTTATCCCTATACAGAATGTTCATTGTTTCCTTTGATTCTGCCAAAGCTAAGTACAAGGAAGACATTTATTCGCCATATAGTATGTTTAGTACTACCACTGCTTCCGCCAAAGGCAAGCGCGAGGAGGATATCTATCCACCATACGCCATGTTTATAAGTCAATCCCACAAGCACATCCACTGATGAGAGCAAGTAAGCTCACTCTGGCGCTGATCACAAGATGAGAGACGAGGATGTGGGCCTGTGGGCCTGTGGGCCATGGCGGGAGACTGTGTGTGGTGAATTCAGATAGTAGGGTTTGGAGTGGTGTTTCCTTGGTGCGCAGGTTGTTGACGACAGTTCTTTCGAACGTTCGGATGAAGTTAGCTAGAAGGTTATCACATAATGTATGCCAATTTCGCTCCTTAGACGTTGCTCAGAAACAGGACCGTGTGCGCGATTACTTGCCATCGCGAAATCTTAAGTGATTACGGATGTGGCCTTCTCGACTGTTGTGATGACCCTTAACCAGTGTAACAGCGATGTGACAACCTATCAGCCCACGTCTTCGTTATCTGAGCAATTCCCTGCTGCGCCGCGAAGTTGCATAGAACATTGACTCTCATCAAAGCCCGCTAAGTTGCGCGTCTCCGCTGCACCCTGCATGAACGATGCACGTGACTCTTTCCACCTGCCTTTCCGAGCGACTGAGTGGGGGAACATGCCCTTGGTCCCCGAATAGATCTATATAAAGGTTCATCAAAATCTCCCCTCCCTTCTCACCCTCTTATCCTTATAGGTCTGTAACAAAAAATTTCACCATGTCCAGCGCCGAGCCACTTGTACGTTTTTACGATCTCTCCGGTCCAAAACTCTGGTCACCTTCATGCTGGTTCAAAAGATATGCTCTGAATTACAAAGGGATACCATACACCATAGTGAAGGTTTCATACCCTGGCATCAAACCACTATGTGAAAGGCTTTTTCCAGACATGACTGATATCGGCTCGACGGTCCCAATTGTCGAGCTTCTCCAGCCACCGCATCGGGTCGTGAACGATTCTACACCAATAGCCAAGCTACTAAATGAGAGGTTCACGGAGAAAGATGGATATAGGGATTTGAAACTCGTGGATGAGGTAGATGAGTATGATGCCTTTGGCGCCCAGTGTGCAGGGAGGGCTATCATCAGGTGGATTATAAACGACGTGTATGAAACGGCTCTTGATAAGGAAGATGGATCGCGGGAATACTTCAAGACGACCAGGGAAGACTTTTTGGGGTGCGACTTAAAGGACGTTACCGAGGTGAGAGGTGGTGGGGAAGCTGCTGTAATTGAGGATTTGAAAGTGCAATGGGCAAGTTTGAGGGAGAGGATGGTTAGTGATGACGGGAAGGGCGAACGTAAGTTGTCAAGAGTCCAAGTCTCATGTCTTGTACTTCAAGAATGCTAACGATTGATAGCGACCTATATCGACTTCTACGATGGCCGCTTACGTTAGATGGGTCGGAGCGGCATCTGAAGAGAAACTAGCAAATCTCATGGCTTTGTACGAAGACGACACATTCGGTCTCAAGGGTGAGCGAGTGGAAAGCAGGCATAAAACAGCGGGAGGAAGTCGCTGAAAACAGGGTGCGAATCATCTGATTACTTCTAGTGTTATTCATGTTGGTGATTCTGCATTAGGAAACGCGCCATGCGGCCGCTAGTGAGCGAATTTCACTCACCTATAATCGTCTCAAAGAGACTCTGACCGCTACTGTAGGGGTCCGTGCTTTTTTTCTCATTTGGTATATGATTAGAAGCTTTTATAATTGCACTCCAATACTGCCTCGCTTAGACCTGAGTTCCATAAAGCCACTACTACCTAATTACTATCCCCACCTCTCACCATCTTCGCACGGACCCCTATAGTGATTAGCGGTAAGATTTGATCTTTCGATCTTTCCTCATCTCCACATCTCCACATCTCTTTATCTCCATATTTCTTTGCGTTGACTTCAACTTTAACACAACCTCTACAATGATGGAGGACTTCAATATTCCCAGCAAAGAACGAACCATCCTGTTGGAAACCCTTCAAGAAGTAATAGGCAATGTACCACCATACTTCTGGGCTATCTGCCATGTGTGCGACCTCCAGGCACTTGAAAAATTAATCGAGACTGCGCGCACTTCCCCCGGGATGTTTCGTGTTTTTGCTGCACATGCCTATACAATAATACTGTATTGTAAATGGAATGAATATGTAATCTGGTTCTTTTCTTTATCGCTAATGTTTTATAGGGACTTAGAGTACTCAAGGGTCATCACGTATTTCAACTCCGAACACAATCCAGAGAAAACAGGGCTTGGGCTCATCTCCTGGTTCTCCGCTTGCTAAGAAGCAAAAGACTACCGATTCACCTGCCAGTCCCCCGCTTGCTGAGAGGCAGATGACTACCAAGTCACCTGTTAGCTCACCAGTATTGCGTCGTCGAAGCAAGGTAGCCTCGGATCTGGTAAGTTTGAAATACACATTATTTTACTATTTGAAGCTTATACATTATAGGCTAGAGAACGAGACGGCCACTGTTGTGTTCTTTCTGGCGAATCAGTTATTGAAGTAGCACACATCTACCCATTTTGCCGACTATCAACTTCGGAAGAGAATGTCTTTGGGGTGAGACACATGTTTTGGGAGTATTTGAAGAACCTCTGGTCGGAGGAGACAGTTGCTGCTTGGCAAGCGGAACTATTTCCAAGGGGTTTATCTGAAACAGGAGACGAAAGGGTTGATAACCGAATAACATTATCAGTGACCGCACATCGCCAATGGAACCGAGGGGCATTTGCCTTAAAGCCAATCTCTATCTCCGATGAGGACACCACATTGAAAGTCCAGTTTTTTGGCAGAAGAAACAGAACGATATTCAGGCAACAATGAGTCTTTTGACTATACCACTTTCCACTGAGGACCTCGATCACAATGACGGTGCCTTCGACCACGGCAATACTACCCTAAATTGTTCCGGGCCCAAAGCTATCAAATCCGGCCAAATCTTTGAGCTCAAAACTACTGATCCAATAGAGAAACCGCTCCCAAGTTTCAAGTTCCTTGAGCTCCAATGGGCTCTAACGCGTGTAATAGGCATGTCTGGTGCTGCCTTTCCGTATGAACCAAGTTCTGGAGACGACTCGGACGAGGATGTTCCTGGTTTGGATTTAGATGAAGTAGGAGGCACGCCTGTTTTTTCGGATATTCCTCAAACAAACCCGCCAGAACTGCTACACGAAGTCAACAAACTCCTTGTGAAAAGTCTTAACCATTGTACAGAGGAAGCGGAGGGGGATAGAGTAGGAATGGGTAGTGACTATTGTCGAGATAATGGTCATATTCACCTAGGTAATCGTAGTAGCCATTAGGGCTATACGACAGGGCTCACCCATCTAATCTCATCCCATCTCATCTTATCTCATCTCATCTAATAAACTAATTTTATATCACATCATACCATATCACATCACATCATACCATATCATACTATTGTACCATAATAAACTATATCATACCATATCATAAAGATCTTGAGAACAGAGAACAGAGAACAAAGAACAAAGAACAATAAATCATAAATCATAAACCGTAAACCGTAAACCGTAAACCGTAAATCATAAATGAGATGATTCATAAACATGATATTCCATTACTGCCCAAATCGAACTAAACTGATTGATAATCCATCACGCCATACCATACCATATCATACCATACCATACTATACCATACCATATTACTCCAAAACTCCCCACATCTACTCGAGTATCTATCCATCTATCCATCCATCTATACCTCCACTCAATCATCAAACCAACCACCCCCCAATCGGCGGATAAACCTGTTCCTCCCACACCCCACCCCTCCCCCCCAATTCTCCCACCGCATCACCTCTCCTCCCACCAATCTCCCCCTCAACACCAGCCCTCCCCTCCCTCCCCTCCCTCTCCCTAACAATCCCCCTCAAAATCCTCTCCTTCTCCCTTTCCTTCTCCCCTTCATTCTCCCCTTCCTTCTCCCCCTCCCCCTCCCTCCCCTTCCCCTTCCCCGCCCTACTCGCCGCAATCCTCGCCTCTATCGACACCTGACTCTGCTCGTTCGCCCTCACCCTCACCACCGCTCCCATCTGATAACAAAGTGATTTCGCCGTTCCTTGATACTGCAACTGCAACTGCGTTTGAGATAGAGATAGTTGATTGAGATTATAGCGAAGAATATGGCGGGCGATGACGGAGAGGACTTCTGGGGCTGGCATTTTGTTTCTTTGGAGATTTGTATTGGGGTTTGGGGTGGTGAAGGGTGGTGAATTGGGTGTATTGAGCGTTGAGTGCTGATGTGGTAAGAATAAAAAGGTGATGCGATGTAATGGTTGGATGGTTGAATGGTTGAATGGACAGATAAATGGATAAAACTCAGAAGCTCAATTAAGAGATCTTTCCCGTATCGATCGTAGTTGGCTTTAATGGTTGTATTCTCAAAACATCTATAACCATATACAACCGTCTCAAGCTGACTGCCAAACACAGAGTAGTTTCGACCGCGGCAGTAAAGGCCAATTAATAAATACCCAGAGTATTACTTTTACTTAACTCGTACACGAAACGCTACTGAATCCAAAGACTCTATTTAGATTCTTCCTTCTTCCTATATAAATATATAAATATATCAGAAAAAAAAGTCAAATAATACCCGTCGACTCCAGAACTCAAAGTGGAAATAATGATAATGATAATGATAATGACTCCGTTCCCGAACTGGATGTGTATGGATGCACGTGAGGGATTTCGCAATGTAACGTGACGTGACGTGATCACAAAATATAAATGAAGATGATTAACTAACTAATTAACCGGAATCCTTGTGGGAATATTGAGGGAGGATGTGATATGATATGATATATATGATATATTATCATATGGTATGATATGATGATATGACAGAATGCGATATATAACAACAAACAAGTGATTCAAAAAAGTATCTTACCTTACTTTTTACTTCCCAGAAACCAAAGCAAACCAAAGCCCCAGCCGGAAACCTTCAAATACATAAACCAAAAGCATCACCTGCCCCCCCTTCCTCTTTCTTCCTTCCTTCCTTCCTCCATCCCTCTTCCTCCTTCCCTCTGCCTCCTTCCCTCTGCCTCCTTCCACGTTCAATGTTCAACCTTCCACATGCCGTGCAACCTGTGCAACTGCCAGCACAAACCTCAACTTCTTGTCACACATCCACATCCACATCCACACGCACAGCCAGCCCTGAACGATGCTAAGCCCAGCAGATAGATAGATCTATGAAACGAAACGTAGAAAGAAACCTTCTCAAAGTCTTGCTATCACATTACGCAACATCACGCAACATCTTGGCTATATTCATTTAATGCCTAACCGAAGAATTGACCCAAAAATTACCCAAGCAGCTGGGCAATCTAATCTAATCTACTCTGTAGTCAAATCAATTCGCACGTTTAATTGATAACTTATAACTTACTTATCTTCTTGGATAAATGGAAAAATGGATGAAATAGATAAATGCATTTATAAATGGATGAATGGGGGAAAAAAAAGGGATAAACATAAAAACCACTTGGCAATACAATAGGATGATCTAAGCGGGTCATGAATCAGGATTAACTGAGACCGAGGGGTACCAGGGAGGGACGGGAGTTGTCCTTGGGTAGATTGAGGGATGCCTGTATCTAGTACTGTGGATATGGAGATAATAGATGGAAAGAGTGTAGTTGAGAGAAAGAAAGATTGCTTGAGGCTCCAAGAACAAGAACTTGAAGATGGCCAAGGTATCATTATCATAAGGGCTGGACTTGATGCGAACCCAACCAACTGTCCCCTTTTGTATCTATGCTCGAGTGTACATTCACGCACCTGTAACATCTCGAGAGTATCATAATGTTTGAAATGTATCCTGTCATTAAGAAATCTGCAGCTGCTCCCAGCATATCGCACTAGATTTCCAAGCGCTCATAGCTCATCTGTCTCATTTCTCATCTTCATCATACAACCAAACATTCCCAACCCAAAGCTGCTCATAAAATACTTCAATTCCTCATCTGAAGAACAAGTTGGGGTAGAACGCCAAAGAAATTAACCATTCCTGTAAAGATCCGGTATTTCGTCCAGTGCCATACATTGTAAGGAATAAATAAAAAAATGTAGAGGGTGCTCGCAGAGCCAACGAGAGACGGAAGAATCGAAATTTAAATATCAAGTGCTTTTCATGATCATGACCTTCCTGAGATTTTCGCCGTTCCAGCAGACCATAAACCCTTCGTCGTCTCTGCAATTTTCCTAGTTTGCGCCTCGATTTGTGCTTCCGTTTGGCCTTGGCCTGAACTTCTCTCGAGACCCTTCATAAACTTTTCACGCTCGTCGTTATTCGCACCGCCCGTACCATATCCGGAATCAATATCCATAGCACTATCTCCATCCCCAGGTCCCATCCCACCTAATCCTGAATCCTTGCTATTTGCATTGAAAGGTTTGGCTCCACGTTCCGGATCCGTAGATTTTGAACCGTCCATCATCCCAGCTTGACCTTCGCGGAGTTTGTTGATGGCGCGTACAGTGTCGATAGCAGCGTGGAGAGTTCTTCTGGCATTGAAATTCTTCTTGACCACTGGAAGCAAGTCGCTACCTTTACCATCCTTTGATACTGACTCTCCGGTGACGAAAGGGTGAGATAGTGCTTCGTGGGCGGTCATTCTTTGTGTAGGATCTATTGTAAGACATTTCTTGATGAACTCTCGAGCACCTCGACTCACACCTCGCCAGTATTCTATAGGTGTAAAGCTGTAATCAGCAATAAGAATGGCTTGCATTTCCTCCAAATTGGAATCCCTGTCAAAGGGTGTGTATCCGCATAATAAGAAATATGTAATGACGCCGATGGCCCAAATATCTACCGGCTTTCCGTGACCGGTCTTCTTGAAGATTTCTGGTGCCATGTAACCTGGTGTTCCGCATGTGGTGGTCAAAACGTGGAATTGCTCTTCGTCCATTATTCTGCTCAGACCAAAATCCGCAATCAGTAAATCCGCATTATCTTCTGGTGTCCGAAACAATAAATTTTCGGGTTTGAGATCTCGATGAACAATGCCATGATCGTGGAGGTAAGCTACGGCGGATAGTGTTGCTCTGATGAGGTCTGCGGCATCAGATTCAAAGTATGATCCTTTTCGGCAGATGCGATCGAACAATTCTCCACCAAGAGCCAAATCGGTAACAAGATATAAATTATTAAGGGTTTCGAAGTAGTCGACTAATGTAAGGATGTTCTGATGTCCCATGGAAACCCGTTTGAGCACAGCAATTTCATTTCGTACCTATAAGCAACACCACATCATGTCAGCGATTATTGATAGATCAATCAATTTGAAAGAGGTATTGGACTTACCATATGTTCTCTGCCTGCCATCAATCGTTTATTAATGACTTTGGCAGCATAATATCTGCCTGTATCAACATGTACACATTCTTTGACCACTGAGTATGATCCTGCGCCCAACGTCTTTCCAGTCTTGTACCGACATGCTTGGATTTGAGGTTGTGGTCTTCCTTGGCGGGGATCCGGGAGATTTGAGGAACTCATCTTGTGATGCGGAGTAATTAATCGGAGTATTATGAAAAGTGTGCGCAGTTGGTTGTAAAGAATGTGATGATGATGGATGGCGATGAAGTACGGGATGATTATCGGTGGGGGGTGCGATAAGTAAAGAATTCGGAATAATTGAAGGATGGGTGGGTGGTGGGTTGTTTGTGGACTTGGCTAGCTGGCTGGCTGGCTGGCTGGCCGGATTGATTGATTAATTGATTGCGGGGCAATGAGAATGAGTAGGTACTCGTAGCTGGGCTCAAGCTAGGCTCAAGCCAACTGTGCTCAAGTTCAAGTTGGGTTAGCTAAAGAAAATGAAGAAAATGGCACTTGTACTCGAGTACGAAATGAATACGAAGTTACGAAGTTACGAACTCATGCACCTACATTTTGGTGCGAAAGGATATGCAATTAGTACTCGAGTAGTGAACTATTTTTATAAATTCATTTGAAAAATGTTTCTTCTCTTCGATTTTGTGTTATCAAGTTATCAAGTTCCATCCCATAAACAAGAGAATTGTGTTTGTGTATTAGAAGTGGAATTGATATTTCGATCATCTTATTGGACATCTTGAATCTCTGTAAGAAAAGGTCTATTTTAAGGTTGATACAGTAGGGATGAAGGGGTTTGTCGGAGTTGGAGTGGAGAGTGAGCAAGTCTAATTTTTCTTATTGTATCTTCACACAAGGCTCGATAACAGTTCGATAAACACAACTCGACACATATGATATATTGATATTCATATCTTTAGCTACAGTATTCAGTGTACCATCTTCATCATCAAACTCCATTCATCTACTCGAGTTATTTCATAAACGACAATCATACTTTTTATATACTTCCCTGCTACATATCTAAACCGAACCCTTACTTCTCTCATGTATCAAAATCGAAACTTCAAGGCTTCAACCTCTGCTTCAACCTCTGCTTCAACCTCTACTCTCTCATGCTCTATCAAACCCTGATCTACAAAAAAATCATGCTCTCATCACTTTATTTCCTACTTATCCCATCATTTACCATCAAAATCAATCTACACGTGATGCAATTGTCTCCGTTTAACTGATCCACCCCGAAATATGCGTCGTCACAAATATACGACCTCAAGATTCTACTGACCATGATCTTCAAAAACTTAATTCTGGTTGCTGGGACTGCGCCTTGTCACAACTACAAATCCACAAAAAATTATAAGTCTCGGCCGGGAAGTCGTGTCTTGTGTTGTCACTATGTTTAATGTTATCATGGTACTGAAATTCACTTAATCTGGCTCTGCCCCGGCCTTGTCTTTTATTATTTTCAGCTCTTTTCCCTCTTTTCCCTCGTTTCAAGTATACTCTCGTTTCGTACTTTTGCTTTCTTTTGATACTAATTCATTTTGCTTTCGTGTGTACATTCTTAAGCAAGAGACCTACACAAAGGACAAGTTGTGAAAGTAGTGGTCAATTGAACTTTTTTTTATGGTCAGAGGAAATGGACGACTATGGTGTTGGCTCTGGCGATAGCCAAAATGGGAACCAGGGAAGTTCTGGGGGCTACGGAGACTCGGGTCAGAGTAGCTATGGATCAAGTGGAATTCAGACAGCACAAGGGCAGTACAATGCTGCAACGACCGCATATCAGTCCGCATATACATCTGCATATACATCTGCACCTACTCCGACAACGACCTCGAATAGTCAAACAAATTCCGCATTCCCAACTTCTACTTCCTCTTCTTCCTCGAATGGTTTATCATCGTCCGAACGAACAGCAATAATAGCGGGTGTGATTGGAGGTGTTGGAGCATTATTGATTATATCTCTAATTGCTATTTATCTATTGCAAAAACGGAAAACCAAAAGGTCCATTGCCCGCAAGGGAGTCGCTGAGCAAGTATCCTACAACGGATTAAATTCAACCTTTACTGGTGTACCTTTCATTAAAAGGAACAGCAACCTCACTGACAGTGAAATATCTCGACCACCAATTATTGCCGAAACTTCACACCAAGGAGCATATATGAGAGGTGGACAGTCAAGCTACCCAGATTTATCCAGTGATATGGAAACAGACCGATTCCTACCAAGCTACGAAGAAACTCAACATAGAATGTCCGTTGGAGCAAATGAATCTCTCGCGCCATCCGACAACCTCATCTCCCCAGCAACAACACGAGACCCATTCACCGATCAAAATCGTCTATCCCAAATGTCACAAAACACCACCTCGCAATTCAGGCCAGGACCACCCATCCGACACGATACCATGGGCTTTCCACTCGACGATGACGACACCTCATACATAGGACCAGACGGCCAACAACACCGCCTCTCCAGAGTAATGGATAGTCCCCGCACTTCAATCCTCGAACCCACCATTATATCCCCAGCCCCAATCCGCCCCAAAATCTCCCACGAAAATCTCGAACAAGGCATTTGGCAAACTCAAAATCATGGCCTAAATCGAACACAACCCCAACATCTTGATTCCCTCTCCTCGAATTATGAAAACCCATACGAATTGGAGAATGAAAATGGCTCTATTCCGCCCATAAATCAATCATATGGAGGCGAACAAAGCATGTCTCCGATCAGTATGCCCTCGGGTGCGTGGATCGCAGCACATAGTCCGCATTTAGCTGCGGGTAACGTGCAGAGGAACATGAGTCAGAGGACCGAGAGCAGCTTTGCGCCGAGTGTGGTTAGTGATACGGAGTTGGATAGGTTGGGGGTGGGACACAGGATGGTGTGATGCGAGGAGGTGAATTGTGGGTGGAATGAGATTATGAATTTCGTTGGAGGGATAGGGGGGTAATTGATTGATGAGAATAGGATGGATGGAAAGGTTTGTGAATGGAAGGAAGGAAGGACGGTTTTTATGTACATGGGCGTTTTGGGGAAACATCATATGATATCCTGGTCCGGTCAGAGCTAATGACGACTCTTTTTTTGTATGGTATTTATTACATCGAATTTACTTCATTCCCATAATTCTCGCGTTTATTTTGTGAATTAGTGATTATTGGATTGTGAAATCATTGGAAGGTGGTGTGGTGGTAGGGGAGATGGAATGAGGAGGTGATGGATAGGGGATGAAATGGTGAGAGGGGAAATGGGAGATGGGAGATGGGAGATAGAAAATGGAAAATGGGATCGTGGTAACTATCTATACAGGCGAAATAAAATTGGGTATTATAACATCTCAGAATAAGATAGGTAACTCCAAGGAACTCCATCTTATCTTATACTCGAGTATGTATACAAGAGCTCTCTCTCCATTTCTCTGTTTCTCTATCTCTCAATTCATCTACCCTCTATACATTTATATCCAACCCCATCACCTCCTATCTCCGGGAGCCCCCAAAACAATCAACTTCTATCAACCCTCAGATTATAACCACCAATTTCTCGATTTCTCGATTTCTCAATTTCTCAGCCTTAGCTATTTCCATCTTTTATTCCCTTTGCTTCTCTGATTTGCTTTGATCAATCAATCATACATACATACTTCTTCTCTTCCTATTCATGATGCCTCTCTTTATAACCTTTTACTCATTCTCCCCATCCTCATCATTTTCCTTATTCGACCCATTCTCTTCCTACTTATACCCCCTATCCTCTCCTCTACCCTCTCCCCTCTCAATACCACCTCCCCATCCACACCCATATCCTTCATCTCCATCCCCATCTCCATCTCCCTCTCTAAGCCCCGCGTACCCCCATCCACCATCCACCATCACCATCCCCATCCCCAATCCCATCCCACTAAACTCACGAACCACATCTCCAACCCCCCTACCCCTACCAATATCTTCCGATTCTTCCGATGTTTCTCCCAAAAGCCCCGCTACATCTACAGCAACAGCTATCCGAGCGCGAGTGCTGATTTCCCCCCGTGGAAGGTGGAAGTGGGTTATGGATGGTGATGGTGATGGCGAGATACTGGTTGTTGAAAGAGCGGATACGGTGGATGTGCTGATGATACTGGGTGGTTTGCGTTTGTGGATTTGTGTGGGTATGTGTATGTGTGTGGAGAGATGAGGATAAGGTTGAGGAAAGGGATGAGAGGGATGAGAGGGATGAGACGGGGGAAATAAGGGGAATGGTGTTTGTGGATCTGGCGGAGAGTGGGCGTGATGAAGATTGGAGTTGGGTTTGATGTTGGTATTGATGTTGATGGGTTGTGGTTGTGATTGAGGTAGTATATGGATGACAGGAACGAAACAGTGAGAACGTCGAGATTATTTCAAAGGGCATATCCATATCCGATGAAGGAGTATTGTCGTTACCATTGCCATCACCAATGGCACTACAAATGCCGTTATAATCGGTATTGCTATTAACAGTCACTCTCGATGGTGTAGGTGTAGGTAGAGAGGACGAATTATCTCTCTTGGGTAAGAAACCACAGCAGCCCATCGTGAATAATATACACGTATCCCCTCTATCGTCTTCATGATGATTTATTCGGGTTGAACTTAAGCCTAAGGGGTGCGGCATGGGAGGCGTTTTATTTACATTCCTGTTGATTGAAATATGTTTTAGATGTTAGATAGTAGGTAGTTTGTGATGTTTGAATGGGAATTCATTCGATATTTGTGGTGTGAAGTTGAATAGATATTGATTTGAATTATCAATTTCTTTTATCTATTGATGCATATCTTAATTCAATATATTTATTACTATAAACGTGCACTAGAATCTTTCAACTGGATATTGAACTGAAAGTATCGCAATTAGAGTAATGGGACATACATGTAGATCTCATGATATTTTGACGTTGGGCACTGGAATGTGGGCTTTTCCACATCCACATCCACATCCACCTCGAATTTTCAGTCATGGAGAAGATGAAGGGGATACATTAAAAACTGGAAAAATATGAAGGTACAGAGTAGACGTAGATTGTTGATGAAAATCAATGTTATGATTGTAGAAAAGCTTTTCAATACAGATAGATTAATCATCGATCAGATAATGACTTCAAGACAACGCAACATGATATCGATGTGGGTGTTTAGTGAAAGCTACACTGTGCACTCAGTCTGAATATAATGGAAGCTTATGGTATTTTTACATGTTGTTGGACTGTCTTGTGTATATACATAGGAAAGAAATGAGAATTAAGCATTATTTTCATAGGAGTATCTCTTAAGTGAGGTTTGTATATAAAAAGTGGTTAAATTCTGAGCTGAGACTTCGGCTGCGATGTCAGTTTAGATGAGATATGGTATATACAGTAGTACAATATACAGGCCGGCTTAGATCATTGAAGTCACAAATGAAGCCCTGATATCTAAGCACATTGAATTCATGATTCATCGCAGTAGACTCGTGATGCTGATCCAAGCACTCGCAGTATTTAAGTTAGGATTCTAGGAAGCTAGAATGAGTGTTATAGATAGAGGAAGTTCGTATAAGCATACTATAAACTGCCACATTGCTCCCCCCCCCCATTACTCATCAGTCTCAACCTCGCTCTGACTTGAATCTTGACGAAACAATATGTACAGTAAGCCTCTTGGAAGCCGCGATATCATCGATACCGACGTCGATGTCTACCATTCATGGTACTGGAGGTATACCATTGGACTTTGTTAGCGACTAGATTACCTACTGTAGACTGAGATACCGTTCCAATTTGGATTATCCAATATTGACTTTGGTATCACGAACCTCATGGTCATCGAAGAATGATTCTAGAAATCTTTAGCGAAATAGCCGAACCTTTGCTTTGCTTTACTTTTCTGGTCTGAATTGTCAAGTTCGAATCTGGGGTGTGGGTTTTGATGCAATCGAATAAATAACCGTGACAGAGATACGTGATGCACTGATAAATAAAGAACTAACTTACTCATAGAATGAAAAATAAGCGTGGGGATATACATACATTAGAAATATTATAAATGATGCTCATCCATATATCACTCCGTCAACAGTATATATATCAGGTCAGGAGTCTTCCAACGTGTAACGACCAAAAGCTCATTCATTCCCCGAGGGCTCTTTTACTCGATATAATGAGATAGCCCCGAATACTGCCGCCTTGCATATCTCAACGGTCACAGCTCATTGTCCTCGGTACTCTGCCAAACCCGCGAAGAGAAAATTAACATTCAGTTTGTCATCAGCGATATGCTAGATGTATTCTCAACACTCCCTCCCAGCTAGAATCACAGCTTCTTTCACTACAAACACTTGTGTTACCTGAAATCTTCTATTCACAGTTTCTGCGCCATAATATCCGGAAACTCGGTCAATGTGTGAGCAAGATACAATTCCAGGACCGCCTGAATAACTCTAGAGTCTCTATAGTATACTTTGGGGAAGAATTGCTGACCGCTGTTCCCAGTTTCTATGCGCGTGAGCATGCTTTCTGATTCACAAGACGATGGTTAGAGTAAGAGAAGTACTCGAGTATGATCATCGAAGATATGTTTTGTGCTTACTGAAACTAATAAATTACCTGTAAAGTACAGAGAGTCGAAATCTGGCGACAGAATACCAGATATCTGTTTGAATTTCCTAGAAATTGTGGTATATATTGCATATGATATTGTATTCGAGTATAAGTCTGCGTAAATCATTGATGGGAAAGGAGAGACAGCGGAGTTTATGCGTCCACCACTGCTTCGTTTCGTCAGATCCATGGTATGTTCTATTCGAATATTGAAGTATGAGACTATTCAGTGTCTATTTAGTGCGCGCGAGTTATGCAGAAAATGTATCAAGGCTATTATACATAATTCGTTTCATACAGGGGGGGATATACACTCTCATCGATGTGGTGTTATTGTTCATGAACATAACTGGTGAGTGCCGGAGATACTGGGATTCTGCTTGGAATGCTATGGACAGGAGAGAGACATGATCAGGTCTACGCGGTAGAACGAACGACGCTCGTACTGCTACTGGCAGTAGAATAATGCCAATTGGGAAACGCAATAGTTGTCATCTTCACAGGAAGATTTTTAGATTCTGACTTTGATCTGGAAAGTGCTCAGTATAGGTACTGATTAGAGAATCATGCCAACATATTTAAGAATATGAATTAGAATCCTATACTTGGAAGTAAATGGATATGGATATGGATACGGCAAATAGTAATTAGAACACTGGAACTATCCGGAAGTGTCTGATAGGTACAATGCGCTTATTACTCGGTGCAGATCCGGCGATATGAAGAAAGGTGAAGTTAGTAAAGGTTGATACATGTGCTGATGCTCAGCTGAGAGGTAAGTACGGAATGATTGTAGAGCGTCGTAACTTCTCTAAGAAGATTAAGTAAGAAGATCAAGTAAGATTGATGACCAATGCTTTCGCCAAAAATCTCTGAAAAGGGCTCAGTTGCCAAGAACATTCATTTTAAACCCAGCCAAAGTATATGCATATAATTTTGAAGCTGCCATGTAGGCCAGCTCACACGATGGAAATGGCTCAAGTCATCCCGTATACGAGTTAATCCTACTCTCTCATTGTAATTGACGAAAGTGGAGACTTTTCGTGATGTAACTCCTTCCTGTCAACCCCCGTCACGCTGCGCGCTGTGGCTTTCATGCTACTCAACATGCTTTGCTAAGACATCTAGTCCGGTACCAATCACCACACCCTTGTCCTAAATACAAGTCAACATTTTCTCAAACGAATTCTTGTGCAAAACTCTGGGCAATCAGAATAGCTTACCATCAAAGAAGTTGGCAGAAAACTCGTTGTAAACTTCACCGTTCCTGCACTCCAGCCATGCCAGATCTTTCCGGTCTTCCCTTTCAAAATATCGGCTGCTACCCTCTTTGCATAATCAGTAGGATCTATCCTCTTTGCTCCGTCATTGCCTTTAGCTCGATCGCAAATCGTACTTTCGATTGGAGTGTAGAGAGAGTCAGCAGGTAGCTTCAGGTCCTTGAAATGTGTCTGGATATTTGTGTCGACGGCTCCAGTCACGACGCATAAGACTTTGACATTGAATGGTGTCAGTTCCAAACGTAAGGTATCTGCAATGATCTCTTCGGATCGTTTGGCCGCTGCATAGACTCCTGAATGTTTGAGGATTAGCATCCATGATAATATGAGAATGTAAACCCAGTAAGCAAAATACAAGGATCACAGATCAGAGAAAGTACAAATCAAGATAGCTGTATACAGTGTATGTGTAATACCCACTTACCTTGATAGGGTGTATTGAGACAACCAGCAACAGAGGTGATAAAAACAAGAGTTCCTTTTGCTTTGATGATGAGGGGCGAAAACGCCTTTGTCACGGCGAGAGGACCCCAAACATTGATATCGTAAAGTTTCTTAGCTTCCTCAATATCTTCATCCAATATCGGCATGTAACGATTGCGAGCAGCACAATTGATCAAATAGTTGAGAGAACCTCCCGTTTCCTTACCGACCAGCTCGACCGCTGCCCGAATTTGTTCCGAGGAACGCACATCTAGAGCTAGTAGTTTCACATTGTCGAATGTCTCAAGCCTCGACATCTTCTTGGTATCGGGCGCCGTGGCAAACACGAGATAGCCATGTTGCTGAAAGACGGAAGCTAAAGCAGATCCACTACCGCCATCGCTGCAGCCTGTAATGAGAACGGAGCCCAGTGGAGCCATGGTTTATGTTCGGGATGAAGCGTGAGATCGGGATGGGAGTAGCTTCGGAAAAACTTGGAGAGCAAGACTATGAGTAAGCTGAGGAGCTAGATAGATAAATTTTGAGATCCGATAAAAGTCGGAGAAACCGTGAATTTAGATTAGTTGAAGGATGAATCCGATTCTCTGGCATAAGCGAACGGCGCATGCGACTTTGATTAGCTAGTGCTGCTCTAATAAACTTTTCATATTTCTCTGATAGCTTTTCAATATTGAAGTATCTTGAAATCACTCAGTAGTAAATTGTGTTATATTTTCCAATGCCTAGGTATTGTTCAAGTAGTCATTATTTAGGATCACGTTAGAATTTACGACTAATTCTGAGTTATGCTCACTACACTTCAAAGTAGTAACTTCCTATCCGTAGTATATATTAATTCTTACGGTAGTTATGATCAATCGTATCGGATAATCGACTTGTATTGTGCTGTATCACTACAGGAAATTATAATTAGATTACATTGAATTCTTCCGCTGTGTACCTAGCGTTACCTTGTGGTCTCAGGCAATTTTGGTCAGCTTTTTCTTCTTGGCGCATATATAACCTTGCGACAACGGTCAGCTTTGCATCAACGTGCATGATGGTACTACCTAGCTAACTAGTGAAGTCAGCTTACCATGAGCCTGATTCTAGACGAAGGATGTGCCTGTGAAGTACGAGGTGATCTGGCTTAATCTCTGAGTTGTAGCGTTTATACAGAATGCGGGGTTGAGCCAATAACATGACCTTGAGTTGCGGCTCTTTTATCACTATTGGGACCAAAATACTATGTTCTATGAAGATTCTTGAAGCCTTCGGGTTAAGGTAAGCTTCGGATCCTTAATCTATTTCACTTGGCACGATCCAATCAGTCGTTCTTTTGCAAGATCCATCTACGAGCCCATGTGGTAGAAACGTGGCTACCCCAGTCCCGCTCTCCCAGGATTCTGGGTTGGATAAATTTCTCGGAGTACAATTCATCATATCACGATATCCAGTGTCTCCATACTTAAGCTATTTAAGTAACTCCGTTCCTCACATTGGTCCTCAAGCTTCTTTAGACCACAGGATAGTTCCACTTTTGCTTTCTGCACGCTAGCACCATGTTTTATCTCCTTCGAACCTGGAAACCTAGCTTTCTTTTGTTGTGTATTGCGTCTTGCTGTGCCTCCGACGACCTTACAGCACTGACGTCTACCTGTAATTCTTTATCCTCTTTACTTCCCGGAAAAGTCTTCTTTCCGGGCAGTGTCCCTTATAATGCCTCATTATCCGGGTCCTGGTATCTAGACAACCGATTGACCCCTATATGCTTTGTTAAGCCACAGTCTGCATCTGATGTATCTTCGGCTGTCAAAGTTCTCAAAAATTCACCATCAATTCAATTTGCTGTGAGAGGCGGGGGTCACGCGTTCAACCCGCGATTCTCGGGCATTGATAAAGGCGTCACGATTGATATGAGTGCCATGAATACTGTCGATGTTATTGCAGATCGCTTCATAGCAAGCGTTGGAGCTGGTGCAGTATGGTCCGAAGTATTCAATGTACTAGATACTTATAATCAATCTGCCCTCGGGGGTCGGGTGTCGGACGTTGGAGTGGGAGGACTTATCACAGGAGGTACGTCTGAGCTTTTGAAGACTGCCTCCTTCTAGCAATAGGAGGATCGCTGACCAGAAAAATTTGTTCACAGGTGGCCTTGCGTTCTTCTCACCTCAGCGAGGATTTGCAGCGGATTCCGTTGCCAACTTCCAAGTTGTACTTTCAACGGGAGATATCGTCAATGCAAACGCCACTTCAAACGCAGATCTTTTCGCCGCATTAAAAGGAGGTCAAAACAACTTCGGAATTGTGACTAGGTTCGACATTATTACATTTTCCCAAGGTCCTTTCTGGGGAGGCACACTCATTTTCCCAAATTCGACAGATGATCAGCAAATTAAAGCCTTTACAAGCTTCAAAACCCCCGCGAACTATGATCCCTATACATCGGTTGAGCAGAGCCATGTATACGTCAGTGCTCAGAACAATACCTTCTTAACCTCGAGCAGTATATATTACTCAAAGCCTGTAGTCAACGCGAGCTCGTTGAAGGTATTTACGGATATACAGCCCCAAATTATGAATACATTGCGAATATCAAACGTAAGCGACTTCGCTGAAGAGGTTAAATCATTGGGTACACCGAATCAATAGTATGTCACACTTTCCTTTACCCTCAGTCATAAATGCGATCATTCTCTAACATATCATCCAAATAGTTCCGTTTGGGCTACAACGACATTTGAAATATCTCCAACAATACTAACAAAAGTTCTCGCGGCTTTTCGGTCCTCCAGACTCCAGATCGGGGCAGAAGTTGACAGCGTTGTTTCATCTATGACCTGGCAGTCGATTCCTCCTCCGCCTTCCAATCCTCTTACTCCGAATAGTATGGGTTTCTCTCCATCGTCAACGCCACAAAAGAACCTAGTGATGGTTCTGATCTCCGACTTTTGGACCGATCCTGCCTCCGAGGCACTAATACGCGCCTCACTCGAGGCTCTGGTTGATTCAATTGATTCAATTTCGCAAGATGAGGGGAAGTTCGTCCCGTATAAGTATCTCAATTATGCTGCAGATTTCCAGGATCCGCTAAGTACCACTGGTCGTAAACCCCTCCAACAAACCGTCGCAAGGAAATATGATAGAGCCGGAATGTTTCAAACTCAAGTACCAGGAGGATTCAAATTGTGCGCGTAAATGTCGAAAGATGAAAGAAGATTGTCGTTCCTAGTACAAACACATGTAGTAATTTCTAAATCAATGTCACATCTGTTTTCATTGGTCCTCTGCTAAGTCCTAATAATCTTAGTGGAGTTCAAACTGATGATGGCAAAGACATTGGGGTCAAAAGGGGAATATAGTCAAATCAAGATGGAATTGTAAACCTTCCCCTCGCTTCTAAAGCTGATTCTCGTGCTTCCTGTCAAAATCAACTAGACCCGTGGCTGAAAGTTCATTTTGACCCCTGGTTTTGGTAACGTCCACGTTCGCCAATTTAGGGTAGGACGGCTATTCTTGTCGACCAGCTCAGGTTCGTAATTGTTCACAATGTGAACCATAATATGCTTCATCGCAAATCCCACAAAGAATCGTCCTGGGCTAAGGTTCCATTAGCACATGTAATCAGAGCAAAACGACAAAGATATCTTACCAGAGAATCTTGCCTGTTCCCCAAACCTGCCATTTGTCCGAGATATCAGTGAATTTTGATGGTCCTTCGGGTTGAACTGAATGCTCCTTGTCAAAGATCTTTGGATCTGCAAACCGAAATCCGTTAAAGACATCGGGTTGTGGATAATTCTCGGCATCACTTAGCATTGCGCCGACAGGCACACAAATCCAGTCGCCTTTCTTAACGTGTGTACCATCGAAGAATGTGAAGTCCTTCAATGCGCAACGACGAGTGGAAACTGCAACATTAGTAACGATTATGGAATAAAGGTAGAGTATGGTAGAACTTACCAGATTCAACAGGTGTCCAACGTGATGACTCCTTGAGAAAGCTATCCATGAGCGGGAGACCCTCACCAGTTTTGTAGAAGTCATCCGCAGCTTTACCTCCAAGTTCTTCTCGTAGTGGTATCATATACTCGGGGTGCGAGCATAGGTTATAGACAGCAAACAGAAGGGTCTATTATGTAAAGTCAATCAATGAAAGGTGCTAATGGTTATTCAGTTCCTGTACATACTGTGGAGAGACCCTCGACGGATCCGAACCAGATAGCCATGATTTCGAAGGCCATTCTACCAGGAGTCCATGTGTTAGTCTTAGGGGAAGTATCAATGATCCACTGAAAGACATCGTCCTATGTTCTACGATTAGTGAAATACAGCAGCCGTTCGCGAGGTGAGTAGCCTACATGTTTTTTACTCTTGTCTGGGTCGCTTAATCTCTTTTCGAAGATTGCGGTAAGACCATAATAGAATGTTTGTTGTCTTCGGAGGAAGAATGGGATGAATGTCCCAACAATCCTAAGCAGAACGGTCAGATATAGCAGACTCAATCTTGTTACAAAAGGCACTCACGGTTCAAGGAATTGAGGACACAATCGCAGAACCTCTGATCCCAACATAACATCATGGTTATAATATAGTGCTGCATCCATGAATTTCTCGTCTCCCACTGCCGTACTTGATTAGATAAGCTCGCTTTGAAATAATGAGGGCTAACTTACTGACGTCTGGGCCGAAGAATGAGTAAGCAGTAACTTTGGTAGCCACAGTCTTTATTATATGCATAGCTGCAACATCATCAGCTAAAGTCTTACCTCCAGAAGTAGAGACCTACCATTTGCAGAAACCCCGTCTCCCAGTTCCTCTTTGAAAGTGTCGTCGATGAGCTTGCGAATACTCGCTGTAAGATGAGGCAGATGGTTGGTCAAGAGAGTCCTTAGAGCTCTGACAAATCCGATACCGTCGACACCTCTTTTGTCATGCCAATTGAAGCCATTCATGGTATATTCGGGTTTGAGTATCTGTAGCTATTAGTCATGTTTAAACTCACTAGTCCCTTAACTCTCACCTTTTTCGCAGCCGCATGAAGTGATAGCTCATCATTAGCAGCATTTGCGATATCTTTTATGTGTTTGGAAGAAGTCACAAACGTGACGAGACTTTCTGGCGAAATTAACTGCACGGGGCTTCCTTTGGCCTAAGATTTGCTCAAGTCAGCTTCATGCTTGACTCTTCGGGACACAAGTAAGAACTGATCATGATCGGAAGTGAGCTACCTGTGTGATCGCCTCTTGAATTGTTTGTTTCGCTGTAAATGGATATTTGACGAGTGCAATCCTGTTCTTCACTCTCTTCTCCAAACCCTTTAACACTACTGGTAGTGAGAGCGCTTGCGCTTTCTGTCCTCTAAGTTAGTCATGTCATCAAACTTATGTAGATCACCTACTGCTTTAAGTATCCATAGTAGAAGAGCACAGCAGCCTAGAGCCACTAACCGATTGTTAAGGACGGAGCTCTCAAGATACATATCTATCGATGAACGCAAATGACTAATGAGTGAAAATTGTGAAGAATGTAAGTATATCTTCAGCGTCTTATCGAAAGTATATAGGGGGCCTACACTTTGCACTGGCAGAGTATCTAGGAGTTGAGGCACCCCAAATATGATTGGTCGAGTCCGGATAGCTTAAAATACCGTTGCATCTGTTAGCCGGTGTGTCGAATGGGGAACCTGTGGAGAATTGCATTCAACAAGCCAAGAGCCTAAGCCAAATGAGGGGGAGATGTGGTATCTATATAGCCAATCTCCACAAGGAGAAGCTCCCAGAAGACGGGATTGGGTTTCCATGCGTACTTGTGACCAGCCAACAAGAGATTATAGAAATCCCAAATACAGACATTGTTGATTTTTGAGGCTAGTGCTAATAATCACGTTTCAAGTTGAATAGCAGTGAAGTTAGAAATTTGACTCAAATGTTCATGAACTATATTACTAGTACTTTTTAAAGTAATGTGAAACAAATACTCAAGTAGTAATAAGACCGATGTTTATTATATAGTTTCCTGAAGCAGTATATATAATAATAACGTTATTGATCTAATGAATATGTTACTTTAAAACGATGACAACTGTCGAGGGGTCAACTCTTATCGGAGAGTAATAATGAATAGAATAGGGACAGCTGCTGTCAAGAGGCAAAGTAGGTGGGATGCTATCTTGATTGCCAAATCCCACAAATAGTAATCGTGGGCACAGGAAGGATTCCACATATAGATACTAGATAGTAGCCCTGTACATTGGCCGAATTGTTATAGACTAATTATCCCAGCATACTCATTGTAATGCGGGTCCCATTGCCAGTGCTGATATGGCTTACTTACTCCACCTGTTAATCATCGGTACTTATTTCAGCCCCCAAAGTCCTTCCGGTGATTACGCTGCATGGCCCACCTTCTGATATACTGTGCCGCAACGGCACTTGATATTGTTTAAGAGCAGTTCTACAATCTCCAAGTTGTGCCTCAGCATTGTCCAAAGAGAGTATATGATACGCTCGAGAATAAGTTGCGTGTCCAGGCTAAGCAATGCTTATATTTCAATTAGACGGCATCACCGAATAATATTAACAGGCAGCAGCTTCCCATCGGAGTGTCTCAAACGAGTTACTCATCACCTCATCACCTCTGAAGCGCGCCTCTCTACCGTCAAAGAACAGCACATCCTTGTTGTTGGAATCAAATTGACCCAAGGCTTCGATGCGATGTTGGATAAACTTCCCCACCATACCACCCCTCATACCATTTCTCGTAAATGCACGCCGATTAGACGAGCCACCCTGCTACTTGCCGAAAAACAGGTGGAAACAGGCGACTTCGAGCAGAAACATGTAATCAAGACGTGATTACAATTCTCGTAGGGCTTACATAGATGATTTTTGTTGAATTTCTCAGGAGGCTAGGATCGGACAACCTACCCCAGTATCCCACCTCTATGGGTAATGTCCGAGTCTGAAGGAACCGCGTTTTTTGAAATGCCGAGTTATCACTGTAATGAAAGGGCGCGCTGTATGGTTGCAATGGAAGGAATGTGCTTTCTGGTTTCCGACACCGAAGCAATGCCCTTGTTAACCCTTGTAAAAAAAAAACTATGATTAGTAACGATTGGCTGTCTGACTGCCAAGTATATGAATATGCAGGATGTCAATGTGTTTTTCGAATGCTTGCATCGCATGCATTAAGTTTGATGCAGGGCTAAGATGTGAAAATACAAGATCACTTAGCTCTTAGAATGATATCAGAATTGTTTGAGTGATAGAAAATGAGATTTTAATCCTAATTTAGAGAATCTCCGGCTCCTTGATTATGTAACGCGACTTTACAAACAAAATTCGCTAAACACACACCCTTTTAAGCGAATATATACGAACTTCCCATTGGACATTCCGGACATTAGCGTAAATGTAACCCTGAAATCTTAGCCAATGGAACAGTTACTGTTATTCCATATGATTTTACTTGTAAATAGTGATTACAAGGTACTGTATTTGATACTCAGACAATTTGGTGTTATTCGAAAGATAATCCATCCATCCTGAGTGAAGCGACACATTATGACAGAATATCCGGATTACCCGTGTTATACACTCAAGTGTTCATCAAGCCTGCTAGAGGGAGGAACAGGAAATTACAAGAGCTTTACAATCGAGCATATCATGGAGGAGATTCACAGAGAAAGAGGTTCTTCAATTACTGATGATATCACTATTTGATTTACAAATGTGTATTGCCTAATGTGAGTCAAATAACCCTAAGTATTGCGAGGATGAAGTTTTACTTTTAAATCGTAACCTTCCACGAAATCTACCAACGCCAATGTTGGCTTGCCCTCATCGGGGACTGGAAATGGCTGAGAAGGCGGATCGAGAACAATATCGAATCTGTTCAGTGCCATAGCAATGAACGTCAAAGTTGTCTGCTTGGCAAGAAAGCGTCCAGGACACAAAGATGTTCCACCACCAAACGGGCGTAGACTAGGATGTCGTCTCAACCCGGGATTCTTCGTAAACCTTTCTGCATCAAATTCCATAGCATCAGCGCCAAACGTTTTCGGATCGAAGTGTAATTGACGCTGTGGCATCATTATACGGTTGCCTTTCCGAAGTATCTTATTACCGATTTCTATGTCCTTAGTGAGAAAGCGAACAGAAGCAGCCGACGCCGTGATTCGAATTGTTTCGTCCCACAGACTGTTCAGTATATGGCATGATTTCGAAAGATATGCTACATCCACACCATTTTCGGAAAAAGCAGGATTGGTCTCTTTCCTGATAATTTCGATCAAATCTGGCTGATACAAAATGTATGAGAGCATCCAAAATGGTGCTTTCCGAGTATTTCCGTTGATACTACCAAAGTTATTATAACTCATGATTAGTGCGTCCAGAGAGGGCAAGGATCTAACTTACCTCCAGTATATCTGAAAGAAGAATATGCCTCGATCAGACTTTGAAATGCCCAATCTTAGCATCTCCTTTTCAAGCTCCAATATTAGATATGCTGCACTATCTCTTTTCCCGGCCGGTAAGTCGAAATAGCGTTCCATAGCTGCCTGCATTTTGCTTTTATTCTCAAGCATGGGCCCGGACAAGATTTTTGGATACTGGTACAATACTTGCCAGGCAGCGGCATCAAATTTCTGGAAAGTTTGGATTAAATCCGGTTCGATTTCTTCGAGCACTTTTCCAAAATACGCTTCTTGCCCTAAGCCTATGAAAAGATCCGAGACCCAGCTGAAAAGAGAAACTGTTGGTATGCCGTTGTCTGTGCTTTTGATATACCAAGAACCTCTGTCGAAGACGGATTCGAGGTTCATATGATTGTCTAAAGATTCCCTGGATATTCTCACCAGGTCATCTAAAGGCTTCCCTGGGTAAAGTTGGCGTACTTGAAACTCTTTCATCAAGGCTAGCAAGTCCTTATACTCTGGATACTGAGTGCCTTGCTTGTCTAGATCCTGGGTTTGAAAGACCTTCGAAACGCCCGATGCCGAAACGCCAATCACTCGAAAGACTTCTCTGGCGAATATTTCGTATGATAGAGATCCATCATTGATCTTATAGGTTGCACTGACATCATCGGCATCGGTTAAGATATACCATTTTTGTCCTGCAATTGTGATAGCGAAGGGTTCCCTGGTATCATGAAAGTATAGTCTTGATCTCCGTTAGTCAAAGAAAACTACTTCGGAATTGTTCTCTTACCTGACAGTTGACAAAAGTCCCGAAGAATTATGATAGAAGGATCTTAGATGCCCTTCTATGGGTGAGTACTAGGCAGGTAGCATCTTTGTAGCACTCGTGACTAACCTATGATTGGTATCCAGTAAGGATATTCCTTCGGATCCCGTGGATAGATGATGGGAGAAATTGTGAATCTGCACAATCGCCATACTAGGAGCAAGAAGATCGCAATTGTGGGCCAAACCAATTTTGGATCTTGCCAAAGCGTGACAAGCAGAGAGAACAAATAAGAAGTTTCCATGCCTAAAGAAACTGTCGGATAACAGACGCAATGAACATAAAGTAGAATGTCAGTCAATCTTTGACATAGTATTATACCGAAAAAGTCATCTTGTTCAAGAAGAACTAAGCATTAAACCTTCTTGACTTCTGAGTAATGCATGTGTTGAACGAGGCTCGCAGTGCGAAAGCTGTAGATTCAGGGGAGACTAGGCAAAGACTCAAAGAGTATGCCGTGTAGCTTGAAGCTTGTACGAAAGTAAGGTTGGAAACTAGCTAACGATACTGTGTGATTAGACATTAAAATTCGCGGGTTGTGCAGATATCAAAAAACAAAAACATGCCGAATCAAGCAAGAGCCCATTTGAGACTGCATTTTCATGTGCGAGGATTGCCTAGACTCAAAATACTCACTAAGAGCTCAATAAGCGCCAAGATAGTAAGCGCCAAGAGTCCGGATGCATGTTTGGGGAGCGGGATCAACGGGGTAAGGAGATCATAAACCTTTTTAATTGAGGCATAGCAACTTAGATTTATTTAATCACCTATTGTGTTAAAGAAGCATATAATGTGGATGGCACGTCGATGACAAGGATGCTTATCAATTCCTCCTTGTACAATGTAACCCCTCTCCCTCACAGGAAGTTATGCAGGGCTTCGAGAATAGTAATTAATTACAGTGGTACACATTCGTAGAAAGAACATAGAATGTCAAACCGACAATTTATCTGTGCAACTGAGCTGATCTAAAGCAGGTTGCCGATAAAGTCTGCGGATAAGTCACGGTTGCAGGCAATGGCCGCAGGATAGCGGCGCAGAATTTCCAGGTCAGTAAATGGAATGGGTCGTTACCCCGCCCTTAGTCTAATATGCTGGCTCGGGAGTTGGGACTGGCTATGTAGCGATTTTAGAAGTCAAAGCTACCCCTCCAATATTTTGTTATTTTTCATAGTTATTCTTCATATTTGTCTGTTTTCTTCCAAGCTCTCTCTCACTCCAATAATTGAATGATTTAATCTTTTTGCAGCTACATATTCTTAATAGATTGCAAAATATACAAACATCATGTCTCTCTCGGAGCTTCTTAGTTCTCTGGCTGACACTACGGGAAAGCTTCTACTTCCGGACAGCGAGGACTACAAAATTATCAACGGCTCATATTTCACGGCATTTGGAAATGAAATCAAGCCTTCTTACATCGCTAAACCAACTAATGTTGAAGATTTCTCTAAATTGATCAAAATTTTGCGCCCTCTTCTCATTCGAGGAGATTGTCAGATTGCCGTTAGAGGTGGAGGCCATACACCATATGGGAGTAGCGCTAATATTGAAGGTGGAGTCACGGTCGACACACGAGGCCTCAAAGGCATCACTTTGAGTGAAGATAAGTCTATCGTTGAGATCGCTGCTGGTGAAACATGGACCACTGTCTACAAAGAACTTGAGAAACATGGTTTGAGTACAGCGGGTGGTCGAGTAGGAAGAGTAGGGGTGACTGGATTTGTTCTTGGAGGTATGTCAACTAGTACGCTGTAGCTGAATATTCGGTCGCTAACAGCTCCCAAGGCGGTCTTTCCTTGTATTCGACAAGTCGAGGATTTGCATGCGACTCTGTGGTCGACTTCGAAGTAGTTCTTGCATCTGGCGAGGTGGTTCACGCCAATGCTCGGGAGAATTCCGATCTCTGGATTGCGTTGAAGGGCGGCTTGAATAACTTTGGAATTGTTACATCCTTCAAGATGAAGACATTCGAATCGGGAAATATTTGGGGTGGGGCAACATATTACATGCCAGGCACATATTCCCAAGTTATTGAAGCCGCTTGTGACTTGGTCTCTACAGAGACTGATGAGTACACCCATGTAATGTGCAGTGTCGGATATGGTTACGGACATCAGATAGTAATCTGTCTTATGTACCATACCAAAGGACAAGAGAATCCCCCATCTCTCCAGCGATTTACATCAATCCAGCCGCAGGTTGAGCAGATGAACTCCATGAAGGTCGGATCGCACCTTGACTTCTGCGATGAGCTCTCGGCATTCACAAGCGACGGATCCAGGTACAGTCGAATAGATGAACATTTCTATACCAATTGCTAACGTCTAATAGACAATTCTACGCCTCGTGTACCATTCGACCTGATGTAGCATTGATGACGGCTTTCGAAGTCGAATGGCAAAAAACACTCGCAACATTGAAGGATGCCGAGGGTTTCACCTTCGCATTCGGCTTCCAGCCATTAGCCAAATCACTACTCGAACATTCCGCTTTGGAAGGAGGAAACTCAACCGGTCTCACCCCAAGCGATGGTCCGCTATTTGTTGTCCTCCTCAATCCTGTCTGGGCTTCGGCTGCCGATGATGAGCGCATGACTAGCGGCGTGACAAAGCTTTTGGCTGAATTTAGACGACTTGCATCCGAGAAGGATTTGCTCCATCCATACATTTTCACCAATTATGCTTACAAGACAGATGATGTTTTCAAGGGATATGGTGAAGAAAGTGTGGCGAAATTGAAGGAAGCAAGCACGAAATGGGATCCTGAAGGAATCTTCCAAAAGGGCGTGCCTGGTGGCTGGAAAGTTGGCAACCTGTAACCGCCATGCAGCCTTTCATATTTCTGGGGGATGGGATGATGCGGAAATTGGTCAAAATAATGGCTCAATTCAACTGCAATGAATCCTTTACGTCGAATTGTGACAATCTGTAATACCATATCGTCGAATCAGAGTCATCGCGTGCCTTGCTCCCCTGACTTCATCACACCTCATATTGCATCCTGTAATACACTGTAGTAATCATCGACACCGCAGACCGGAAATGGTAATATGGTCACAGAATTTTTATGTCTCCCACACTAGAACATGTCAAAGGTACTTCTAAGCCGACTCGGATATGTCTCACTTTAGACCTAATTGCTCAATGTCGTGCACCTCTATGGATAAGACATATCAAACTCTGAATTGATATCGACAGCACCTAGCTAGCTATGGTGTATTATCCGAAAAATGCCATCGTTAGTACTCCCAAAAATATATCCCTCCTTTTCCAAGATAAATCCGGATTTCGTACGTTCTAAACCTTGACAAAAATACATACACTCATTGCCCTACTAGTTGGGCTCAAACATTATTTGCTCGGCCATTTTTCGCGACGATCGCAAATGGGTCAAGAATGTAGTGAGGGATTAAAAGCACTCCGTAGTTTAATGGTGTGGTACTTTATAGATTGGGGCTGTCTCAGACGAGATATTCACGGTCACCATTCGATAAATCCCCGGATCTGTTTTCGAAAGGTTGCTCGTCTGGGTACGAACTTCGCTCTCATGGCTACCACTGTGAAGCTCGAGGTATCGTGAGTCGTTCTTTAGGTTGGAAGTCGATTCACTCAGGTTTGGCTGCTTGCGACTGCTTCCAGTGGAGTTCTGTGTCCCTTTGACACTAGTGAATAGTGATTGTACAGATGTGTAGAACTTGGTTTCTTTGAATGAGACATTCCATGCCCTCGCAAATGAAGGCATACAGGCAACCATTATAGTAGCGTAGACTTCGGCTTGACTGTATTACACACTTAGATTTCATCTATGCGAATCGAATAGACGTAATGGGGGTTGCTTACATGCAGACATATGTCTGAGCAGTAGACCAAGTTGAATCAGGATTGTGTATAATTTGTACTCGATAATATACTGTCAGGGCGCTTGCAATGAGTGCACTATAGTCGGATTAGCGAGGAGACTCGTTTGTCGTCTTCTCGGAAACATACAATATTCCAGTCGCGAATACACCACACAGCGCAATCTTCTTACTTCTTGGCATCTGAAGCTTGAGAATGATTGGAAGCGGGAGGAAGAAAATAGCGAGATCTGCCGCGATATTGACACCTGCTTGAACAAACCCTGGGCTTGCGAGATGACTGCAGTTGGTTAATACAGGAAAGTCCCAAGGATCACCATGGTGTGGCATACACCAAGCAATCCCCATTCCCACTATCGCCGTTAGCACTTGCGAAAGTGTGTATGGTACTGGAAAGTTTACCATTCATCCAGTAGGCTGGAAGAAGCACACCCAGCGTGACATATACCCCAACTCTAAGCCAGTGTTTTGGACGGAACGCTCGCAGGTACAGCAATAGGATTGCAGATTTGGCGAAGAAGAGCATTGGACCGTAGAACAGACTTGTAGCAAATAGTTTCTAACACTTTTAGTGAATGATTTCGATTGCTCCTATATTTGGCTCATACCTTCATATATACAGGACCAATAGAACTCAATGGAGTATCCCACGCATGTCGTGAAGAGCTTCCCACTAAAAGTACTTTAGCATAGCGCGCTATCATATGTATTTTGTACTTACTGCTACAAACCATGCCCGTGTAGCACAGCGCAAGCACAAAGCCGATCACGACAGACACTATTGCGAAGTTAGGACAAAGTACAGAAATATTGAGTCGTTCATTTGACTTACCATCATCTATTGTGAGCTTGTGGTCGTGCTTCACATTAATCCTCAGTCGCAGACATACCATACTAAAGGCAACGACTGCCAGGAAAATTCCGACACCTTGGACTGTACCAATCAGAGAAGGAGGGTTCACAAAGTTGGGCGGCGCTCCGCTGGGATTCACCGCCAGCGGGACCTTGGTCAAATCAGTGCCTGGAGGTATCTGCAATGCCATTGTTGAAGTTGAAGAAAATAAATGGACAACAAATTCGGTATCTCGTGACTAAGAAAATTCAAGAATGCCGTGAACCAAGATATTTGTGCATATAATAAGTCATTTTTTCCAAGCTCGAGTAACGACCGTATTATAGAATGAAGGTTGCATTATATCGAAAGCTGACTGCATTGCCATCCAGTCAGTCAATACTACTCGTCGGGATTGGTAACCAAGCACTTGGTCATGGATTGATAGAATCCCACTCTATCAGAATGACATCGCATGTTACTCAGCATATCTCAAGGATAGAAAAATAAGCTCGGGATGATCATATCAGATAAATTGAACAGATCGACATGTAATGCAGTTCTCGCCGGTAATCCACAAATATATCTTGGCAGCGAAAGAACAACTTCTCTCAAAGTCATCAACTGATTAGAATTCAATACTTAGTAAGCTTTAACTTTCGGTATCAATTAAATATATATTGTACCGGTACTCCATAATTCTAATTTAGGGCAACCGCAGCCTGCGAGATAAGTGATAGGACTCGCTTAATATATCAACCCCCCTGTATTATATCGCCACTCACTAACCACGCGACCGCCAACGCTTGTACCCCTACGAAGTGCAGACTTCAGACTTCTGGATTCTTCCTCTGATCCAGGCATTGTTCGATTTGACCTTGTGGCTTGAATAGGATTTTGGGTTCTGAGCGACGCCGGCCAAGAACCTGCCAGCATTTTCGCACTGGACTGGTGTCGCATGAATTCAGGGAGGGTATTGACTATTGTATTCAATTCATCTCTTTCCTAAGCCAAAAACAAGCCTCAAAAATGACGGCTTAAAACAGTTTAAGCTGGGCTAATGGTCCATTGAAATTCATGGAATATCAATCCTTATATTCATACCATAGCATGCACCTTGTAACCCCAGAGAATCCATGCCGCGATCCTCTCCGCGAATAAAATGCCCACGTCCATAATTGTATCATTTAAATCCAAGCATCCCACGTTTACTTGGCAACCGACGTTTAAAGCATGGTATTTCTCCATAAACATTACTACAATATCAGTTGACCTTAAGAAGTCCCTCTTTTCAAAACCTACACCAAGAAACCAGGTTCCGTAGATACCAACACTATCCAAGATCATCTTTTTGAACCCGGTCTTTACAAATGTGCCGGAAACGCAGAGACCACTCCCGTCACTGGATATGATGCGGGAATTCAATTGATGGGTCTACAGGTTCCTTGCAAAACCATCTTGCAGCGGAGCTTGCCACGTTATTGGCGTTGCAACCGTATGAAAGCGCGGGTATGTTGAAGATATTAAAAGATGCGAAGCTACAGATGAACCAACCGAGTGTATTTGTTGCACTTTTATACTGTGATACGGTACTATACTATACTAAGCAAACGTGGGATCAAACACTGCCATTGAGACTTGGTTGATCATGTAGTACTTTCGAGGAGAGGAAATATGTTTTCCCTGCGGTTCGGTGATTCGCGAGGTAATATGTCATTGGTATTGTCGTACATATCCAAGTGATAATTCTTACCTTGTGACATGTGAGGGATTTTTAGACCCTCTTGAACTAGATTATGTCGACAATTTTAGGTTTCGATAGATGAGGATGTATGCTGTGGGTATGGCTATTACTCAAAAGATGACGTTATACTTATAAGTTATACATCGCTATTACAAACCCTATTGTCGGCACTTATAAAGATTTCTTTGAAAACTCTCCCCCTTCAAGAATAGCTCTACGAGTACTAGCTCGTGCGTATAGATCCAGCGAGAGATAATGATAAGTATGTTTCTTTCCAATCCAAACAATAAGTTATGGATTTCAGACAATTATCGAATAAGATGATTGATACATGATTTGGATCGTCCGACTGACTGCAAAATCAACAGAAACTGCCGATGTGGTAGTAGTGAAAATGTGTAGGCCTCGAGATGACAGGATTCTAGCTACCCGTCGTGATTCAATGAGAAATTCCACGCGTTATCGTGCGAGAACTCCAAGTCTTTCGCGTGATAGATGGCTCTATAAGTAGGGTAATGCTGACCAAACGGATGGTCTTTATATGTATATCTCTTTTCGTACTTTCAGGGAAGTCATTCACCCAACATGCCTCCGAAGGAAGCATTAAAATATTCTCTGTTCCATTCCAATCTTTCATGATGCACGAAGACGCTGTCTTCTCAAAAGCGTGAACTCAATTCTAGGAGACGTCCATAAATCGTAGTCAGGATCTCCAGAATAGTGATGTTTTGTGGGTAGTTTTAACCATTCGAACTCTCATTTGAGCAGGTTCCGCTCATACTCAATCTCCCCCCTTACGAGAAGAGCAATGCACATAAGCCGATTCGAGCTTCTCAAATGGTACAATAGCGACTCCGTAACTTCCATCATCGCCATATATCGGCGGCTCTGTAGGGTTGTAAAGGGAGTAAAGTACCCCTCTATGAGTTAAGAGACCCATACCGCCACAGGTCCAAGGAGTAATGGAACAATTTCCCTTCATACCAGAATCGACTTCATCAAGCGGCTCTTCATAATCCCAATCTCCAACCTCCGTATGACTGTGATTTCTATCCCAAGTTTCGCTTCCATCTCTCCAGGCACCAGCTTTCTGAACCATAATCAGTTTTTGAAGTCCTGGAAGTCGCGAAACCATGACAGACTGCCAGTTGATGAAGATTCCACTCGATGGCCTGTACGGCAATTGACAAACGTATAGAGTTTCGAAGGTTCCCAACAACGATAATCAACGGCTAGATACCGCAACGTGTTCCGTGAACCCGGCTTCTCCAAGAATGCGAGAAATCATTATTATGTAAACCTCCAACTCTGTCTCCAATTTGTATAATATCTCGTGCCCAATATATTCACTGCCCGAAACATTTCGCCCGACTACTATTGACGATATTTCGGGCTTCATGACTGACTCTCGCGACCGTGGGCTCTTGGTAGCATCGTCGTTAACAGTTGCACTTGATAGCACACCACGTAAAGGAAGTGATGGTTAGGTTTGTTGTAAACTTGAATTGCACGAGAGGGTAGGGTAGCTTTCCAGGTTAGAGCTTATATTCAGAGGGTGAGACGAGAGAATGGATGGAACACCTTAAAGGGTGCAGTGTGTGGAGCTACTTGGAGTAGCTTTCGCGCTTCTTGACCTGTAGAGAACATCGTCAGGTCTTGACGAGGAATGTTGTTCAGTATACAAGATACGATGTTTCGGCAAGAGCGACCAGCTAGCTGGCTTTCGGATCGAACCTAGGAAGCGAGATAGCCGATGCCGATGAAGTTTAACTTCACTTCACTTCACTACAACACAGACATCACATATTAATATATGGCCATTAGGCTTTGGTCATGACCTCAAACCCCTTATTTATTTTACTCGATTCGATGGGTTTAAGATAAGAAATGAGAAGGAAACTGCTTGTGAGGAATGATACAATATATATAAAATCTTCAGAGGTTGCTTGAAAATAAGATCATTTGATAAATCCACTTAGTGTTAGTGTAAGAGTTGTTAGACTATGGCATTAAGCTGATTAAAGAGAAGTGAAAGTTAAACTAGAGACGGTACTATCACGGTAGTCATATTGTACTACAGGTACCGGTAATAGATGCTGTAACATTAGCCTTATGGGGGGTACTAGTAGTAGCGTCATACTAGACTGACGGTAGTTTCCTACTAGCAAAAATAGCTCCCGCCTCCCGAATGTTTGCTGCATATATTGCGGGGAAGGGGGTGATAGCTCCATTTTAGGGATTAGGGGAGGGGGGAAGGGTACCGGTAGTTTAGGCCTAGTTTGGCTCGATAGTGTGAGTTTTCGCATTTATCAAAAATGGAGTGTGCGTATAGATTCCCACTTCTAAAAATACCACTTTTTTAAAATTTAAGCCTTTATTTGATTCGCATAACATTTTTCGTGCATATTATCACGGGGCTGGTACGGGTTCTGGTAGGTACTAGGTAAGATGTATAATATTCGATAAGGAGAGAAGAAGACATATGAAACAACACCGACTATATGATAGATGGATATGATAGATGGATAACTAAGGTATTCACCCGAGCTAACTAAGAATGAGTAATGTATATATGATAGATATAGGTGTAAAATAAATATAGATGGGTATAATTAGGAATAGATAATGAATCTATAATAATTATTTTTCCCTTCAAACCTTATTTATTTTCAAACAAATATATAATATAATAAATAATATAAAGCCCTTTGTTTCTTATAACAAATTATATCAAACTATTATTATTATATATCCTAATTCTTCTATTTTATTTATTATCTATTATCAAAACTATAATTATTAAAGATTACTATATAAGCATAGTCATTGAATCAAACACTTTTCTTTAATTTGATATTACTGACTTATAGTTTTCTTTCTTTAGTGGAGTATTATAACCTAGGTTTAATAAACAATAATATTTATATAATTAATGCTTTTACTAGAACAAAAAGTCCCTTTACAATAAAGTTCTGAAGGATTCAGGCAAATAGACTAGGCTTTTTCAGATATAATATATAATATATTATTAGGAGCTTTTCGTTTCCTTTCAAATCGGATAT